AGTATTAGATTACCGGGTAGGCAACTATTCGAACTCGCGGGATGTTGTTTTGCCTATGCGGAAAATTGAAGGCAATCTCTACATTGGCAGAAGCGTCTCAAATGAGACTAAATTCTATCATCGCATTGTCATGTTTCTGAGATTTTCCACGTTTGCAATAAAACTCGTGGAGGCAGGTGAAAAGATGCAAGGATTTCATGAATAACGGCTACCTTCCCCCATGATTTCTGACGCTTAATTTATCCATTCCCTCAAAAATATTAAAATCTCGATTTGAAGGGGCATTCTAGCAATCTTCGGGTTCTCGGATTTTACAGGGTAGAAAATAAGGTTTCCGTAAATTCGTCGTTGCCCCCACGAAAAATGGTAACTACATTTCAATGTTGCCAGATTCCCCTTCGCAAATTTCATTGAGCATTTAACTGATGATTTCGCTCATTTTTTCTTTGGTTCCATGCAAAAATTAAACAAAAAAAGCACGAAAATTGCACAGGCGCACGTTTTTAAAAAATCGAATCGTTTGAGTCAATTTGGCACCCTTGGGATGGAGTTACATTCTTTCGTTCGGAAGGCGACGTATTGTCCCTTTGTGCACTTCCTTAACTTGAGATTTCAATATTTGTAAAGCCATCAGGGGGTCTTCTAAAACAGGCTGGCCAAAAATAGGGGCTTTTCCAGTCCATACCCAAGAAATTCAGTACCTCCTCATAAGAGAGATTCAGTACCTTTTCAATACCACCAATTGACGAAATTCGAAAATTTTCAAAAATTTGAATTTCTCGCTCAAATTGAAAAATGACAAAAATCCCCGACCTTCTCGCGCAATTCCGCACTTTTTCAGTACTTCCGGACCGCCCTTAAAAAATCAGTACTACATCCGGACTCTCCGGGAATTCCGGACTTGTAGACACCCTGGCCATGGATTATTCAAAACTAAAAACCATCGAGAATGAGAATTTAACGACTCTCGATGATCAGAAAAGTCTATGATTTCCTAAAGATTTGAGACCATTGCTCCGACAAAGGAGCACTATGGGGGGGGGGGGGGACTCTTTATTAAAGAAAAGGTCTCATAACCCAAAGTCTGCAGGCTTGTGATTCAACCCAAGAACACCCCGCAAAACGCACACTGTACATCTGCTAACGAAGACGCGTAACTTCACTTTTGAGATGAGTCCTGCTACGGCTGTAACCAGTGGCGTGGCGTGAATTGCGATATATCGATTGTTGTGCCATTTAAACCTACAGAAAAGGATCGATTAACGGGGTGTTCGCAGCGAACGCCAAAATAATCGATTCTTAACCATAGGTTTAAATGGCATAACAATCGATACATCGCAATTCACGCCACGCCTCTGGCTGTAACTCCTCACTTTCCAGGGCTCGAAGTTAGGTTTCTCATCAGTAGAGCTATGATCCCACACCCAAGATCCTGTGTTTCATTCTTTGTTTCTGAAAGGACCGTCTCAAATAAATTAGCCAAATGGCTCGAGAAGCCACGAGAGGTCGTCACGCATCTTAATCCCCACGTGAGCCCTGTTCTCCGAACAGCTCCATGCCTTCGAAGGCTCATGTGAAGATAGAGATACACTCTTTCTCCGGAGGAGCGACGAAATGCGGACCCACCAAGGGAAGAAGAAAGATGTCGCGGGCGTGTTTGTGACGCTTGCAAATCAAATTATCGCCGGAATCACGGAAAGTCGCGACCGTAAAATGACCCGCTTCTGGAAACAATCGCTTTTCCTGAGGTGACTCGCTTGATAAATTCACGAGCCGCCGACGCGACCCACGCACCTCGGCCGGTTAAACAAGGGGAAAGGATATAGGGCGAATAAGCGCGGGAAAGCCAATGGCCTTGCGCGGTTGCCGGGCCGGACGGTACCAACCCGACTCGCCAGCGGGCTGATTATTGGGATTGATAGACAAAGCGATAGACAAAGAAGACATCGCAAGTACGGAAAGGATCCTATTGGTCGGAATGAGTGGTTCATGTGGACTAAAATTTAAGAGAGAAAATTATGGATTAACAGTAGGGCGCTGGAAAAAACACATTATATCTAGAGTCCAGACTCTTAAAAACATCGACAAGAAAAAATGCTCTTGATTCGATCAGATTTAAGCTTCAATCAAGAACCCAGCCTCTTAATTTGAGCGGATTTCCTTTTGATTTAAGCTTAAATCTGATTGAATCAAGAGTTCTTTTACTTGTCAATGTTTTCAAGGGTCTGGACTCTAGACCCAATGTGGTTTTTTTTCCAGTGGGCCTCATACCAACTTGACTCGCCTGTGGGCTGATTATTGAAAATAATCGACAAAGCGATAGACAAATAAAAGACGCATAAAAGTCAATGCGGGCGGGGTAATAGACCTGCAGTTAGGTTAGGTTAGGTTCAGCAACTAAACTAACTCCCCTGCAAACCATACGGTATCATGCAGGATTGAATGTGCAAAGTATAAGCGTACGGTGATGAGTCGGCGAGTGTTCGATACTGAATTTTAGACTATTAAATATAACTAATTTGCTCATCGTGATTATTTAGCCATTTTCTAGAAGAAAAAACTTTTCTTTTTGCTCTAGCTGAAGTACTCAACAGCGGACTGATTGTTGAAATTGGTAGACATCGTGCGACACGACCATTCCTTTATGATTGGTCTGTGCGAACTGAAATTTTTGGTTTTCAAAGGTATACTGAAAAAATTTTCCTTGAGATAATATTTCTATCTAAAGCGTCGTTTTCTGTCGACGAAATTTACTTCTTGGTTAAATCCGTGCAGATTTAATTTAAAGTCAGTTTCCATGAGTTGAAGAAACGTTGTTTTGCTGTCGCTTTTAACGATGCAAAACTACGCTTTTTAACGTAAAAAAACTGATATTTAGTTGAATCCGCAAGGGGCTCCTAAGAAAAACAAATTTCGTCGACAAAAAACGACGCTGTAGGTCAAAATAATATCTCATGAAAGATTTTTCAGTGTACTTATACTACAAAAATCTACAAAAATTACATAAAAATGTGTCAATACGCAAAGCTAAACACTGGGAACCCACTCTGCCGTGCTAAGGAAGAACGCCATATGAACACTCGAGAGTTGCCAAATTTCCTTCGATAAAATGTTTATTTTTGTGGAAAATTATGAATATTTTCCCTTGAAATTTTCAGAAGTTTTAGATCAAATACTAACAAAATTATTCGAGGAATTGATGGACATATATTAAAAAAAATTCTGAAAATTAGTGATTTTCCAGAGGAAATGTGGCAACGCCTGAAGGCTCATACGACGTTTTTCCTTAGCACGGCAGCACTTTAAGGTAGTTTTTCACCCGAGTACGAACGCCGCAGCCGGCAGCAGAGCAAAAAGCGGGATGTCCCGGCCCGGCGTCGCCAGGGACCGGAAACAGTTAGATTAGGTGTAATATGCAAGTGATGGCGGATATTACCTGTCCTACATATTATATTGTGCATGAAATAAGATTCGCCAGAGTGAATGATTTTGACGTATAGCGCACCCCCCCCCCCCCNTTCGCCCGCGGCCGAATCAGCCCTCGGTAACGCCGCAATTTTCCCGGCGAGATATCACCGGCGGTTTTTCCGACTGCCACCGCCACAGCCTCTCCACCACTCTTCTCTGTTTGCTCTCGCTCCTCCCTGACGCGCGACCAAGGTGTCTCGAATCCCCGCCGTGTAAACGCCCGGTCGCAGATGTGACCCTGATAATTTCTCATCTCCCAGACGTAAGACCGTATTTCCACTGCAAGGTTACGAATTTGACGTGGATAATCATTTTTTTGCAGAAATATTAGGCCTCGTCTCCACAGGACGTTTTCATGGGATTTGTCCCAAGTTCGAATCGCAGCAATGAAACTTCTGGGATTTTTCCCAGTTACCGTCTCCACGGGACGAGGCTCATACGGTCCTGCGAATAGTTTGCGCGGGAAGATAGATTAGATAAAGTCGAGTATTTAACCGAAATTAAAATAATAATTGCACTCAATTGACAATCAGACACATTATTTTAACTTGACAAACATGAACAATGGAGTATTCAACAAAATATCGTACAATTCGTTTACACTTCTTTTTCTTCTTCTCACAGTGGGTCCTAAGGTTAAAAGGACCATACTTGGTACTGGGGCTTCGTAAGTGGGCTTTTTCCCTGAGACAAATCTCGAGAAACGACCCTTAGAGACGAGGCCCAAGGTTACGAATTTGACGTGGATAATCATTTTTTTGCAGAAATATAATCGTGCAGTATACTGCCATGCTGAGGAAGAACCCCGTATGAGCCTTCAGACGCTGCCATATTTCCCTCAGTAAAATTTTTATTTTCTCGGAAAATCGTTGATATTTTCCTTCAATTTTTTCAGACAATTTTGTTCGCAATTTTATCTAAAACGTCTGAAAATTTTAAGGAAAAATACGCATCACGTTCTTTAGAAATACGCGTTTTATCCGAGGCAATTTGGCACCTCTTAAATACGCATACGGCGTTTTTCCTTAGCACGGCAGTATAATACTGCCTCTTTTAGGGAAAGAGGTCGTATAAACATTCAAACGTTGCGGAATTTTCTCCGATGAAATATTCATATTTTTCATCACATTTTCCTTGAATATTTTCAGACACAATAGATTAAGTTGTGAATGAATGTCGAGTGTGAACTCAAAGAAATGAATACAAATATCTTTGAAAAAATTCGGTTTATCACCAGCAGAAATCCAGCAACATCTGAATGTTTAAAAGACATGCTTCTTCAGCATGTCAGAAAATGCACCCGGATGCTTACTAATTTTTGCATGTGATCGGAGGGAAAATTAGTTTCATTTCCGGTTATGAATGCCCAAGGGTGTCCGTAAAATTTCGAAATTACAATTTCGAAGGAAAGAATGTCGGAGTGTTACGTTTCATACCTTTCTCCGAATGTAATCTTGGGAAAAAAATGAGAAGAATTCACCGCGTCAATATGTTGATAAATTATTTGTAGATTAATGTTCACATTGGCTTACCTTAATTGAAGGAGCTTGTAATTTCAACTGCTACTTTTGCGTCCTGTAAAAAAAGCAAAAGAAAAACGGCAAATTAATTAACAGCAACTTGTAAAATAGGATGTTTCTCATTTGAATCATCTACACTGAAAAAAAGTTCTGTTGTCACAAACCAGAATTTCTGGTTGTATTTCGCAACCAGATTTTCCGGTCGAGTGTTGACTCTACCAAATTCTGGTTAAATCAACCGGAAAATCTGCTTGCGAAATACAACCAGAAATTCTGGTTTGTGACAACAGAACTTAGTTTCAGTGTATGCATGACCTGATTAATGAGCAAACACACTGCATGTAGAAAAATAACTTTTGGTAGAACCGTAGAGTTATGGTGAAGCCACAACGTAAACATGAATCTTGAAAATTTTGATTTCACCGGAGAAAGAAATCGCATTCGCTGCGACAGCTTGATATTAAGGTTATTATTATCTGAGCTACGGTTGTTCTGTGGCCACGATTTTCTATTACTGACTTCCTGGTGCCAAAACTGAAAGTAATCAAAATCAAACTCGCGAAGCTTGTGATAGCTCACTTCATCCTTAAATTCCTTGCTTTTCTTTGCTCTTTCCTTATATTCTCGAAGACTCCTTTCTTGGCGATTATTAAAAAAACGTTCCTTGCCTCACAAGCATATGTTACTATATTCGGATTGGGAAAAGGGAATGACGAAACGACGAAAAGATAAACCGAAAAACACGAGGAATCGAACCGAGATGTTGATAAATAGATTATGTCAAGAAATCGCATACATTCCCAGGACTATTCAATAGAATTCTTCTCAAAAATCTCGACTTTCCGTACTTTTTCATCGGAAATCCGTACCTCTTCCGAACTTCCGTAACGACTTTCATAAATCCGTGATTTTTCGGTGTATCCGTACTTTCTCCGTACAGGATACACCCTGGCCAAAAAAATCTAGATGTTCCGTACTTATTCACCGAAAATCCGTACCTTTCCCGCACCAACCTTCCGAAATTCGTGCTTTTTCAGTGTATCCGTACTTTTTCTGTACAGTAGACACCCTGGTCACAAAAATCTCGATTTTTCGTACGCTTTCACCATACCTTTTCCGTGCTACCGTAACGACCTTCCAAAATCCGTGCTTTTTCGGAGTGTCCGTACTTTAACCGTGCAGGAGACAGGGAGAATACCCTGGCCACAAAAATCTCGATTTTCCGTACTTATTCACCGAAAATCCGTACCTTTTCCGTACAGGCACCCTGGTCACAAAAATCTCGATTTTCCGTGCTTCCGTACCGACCTTCTGAAATTCGTGCTCTCTCAGTGCATCCGTACTTTTTCCGTACAGCAGACACCCCGCCGGTTATTACAGGGCGACGATGCGCGGGAACCCGGCGCCGCGGGGCGGGGCGCGGGGGAAAAAAGGGGGGAACAAAAAGCGCGGATCCCCCGGCGGAGCTCGGCGGTTTTACGGCCCCTTAAAGCGGGAACGGGTCCTGGGAGCGCACTTTAATCAGGGCCGAGGCGGATGAAACTGCCCGGAAAAGCGGCGTCCCGACCGGATTACACCTGAGCGAAGGTTAAGAAACGACGACGAGGTCGGCGGGCAACTGGACGGAACGGGCGCCGCGCCGCCGCCGCGGGGGAGGGGGAGAGGGCGGAAGGGGGACAAATTACTTTTTGAGAGCAAAATTAGCTGCAAATATTTAAGATCCCCGGAGTCGGCTCCCTGCACGCGCGTAATTAGCCTGCAACCACCTACGGCTCGATCGCTGGCTCCTCCGCCGCGCCTCACCCGCGCCGCGCCGGGGCCGGAGACAACGCTCCTCCGAGACTGCTAAACCTGTGTAAGCAAGTAGAATTTCCTTTTGCGCACACTGGAAAAGTCTCTTGGATCCTGGGTTTAGGCTCTTAAAAAATTTTACAAGAAAAAATGGATCGCTTGAGACAGAAAGGAACCAAGCCGCCAAATTTAACTGCACTGGAAAAAAAAGTAGCTTGGATCTAGAGTCCAAACTCTTGAAAACATTGACAAGAAACAATACTCTTGATTCAATCGGATTGTTGCTTGAATCAAAAAGAAATCCTCATAAATAAGAGGCTTGGCTCTCGATGTAAGCAAAAATCCGATTGAATCAAGAGTATTTTTCTTGTCAAGGTTTTCAAGAGTCTGCAGGGTTCTAGATCCAAGCTTCTCTTTTTTCCAATGTGGACAATTTAATGTTTTACATGAAAACGAGTGTGCGAGTTTTTAAGCGAATTTCAGTAAATTTTTTGCATAAAGCGAAGCAAGTTCCTTAAAATTTTCAAAGGAATCCGCACAAAAGTTCTCTTGTAATAAATTAAACTATCCGGTTGAATTTGGCGATAGCTGATGTGTCTTGGTTCTTTTCTGCTACACGCGGTCCAAATACTCTTGACTCGATTGAGTTTTTGCTTGAATCGAGAGTTAAGCCTCTAAATTTGAGCGGATTTCCTCTTGATTCAAGCAAAAATCCAATTGAATCAAGAGTATTTTTTCTTGCCGAGGTAAAATTTAAGAGGTTGCCGTTACTTAGTCCCACAAGAAGCATAAAAGCCGATGCAGATGGGGTAATAGACATGCAGTTACGTTAAGTTAGGTTCAGCAACTAAACTAACTCTACTGCAAACCATACGGTATCATGCAAGATTGAAGGCGCCAGGTATTAGCGGACAGTCATGAGTCGGCGAGTGTTCGAGGTAAAAGAGTGAATTTTAGACTATTAAATATTACTAGATTCGCTCATCGTGATTATTGAGCCATTTTCTACAAGAAACAAGTCTTGTTTTTGCTTAAGCTAAAGTGCGCAACAGAGGGCTGATTGTTGATATTGGTAGACAAAGCAATAGACAAAGACGACACGGAGGTTCTTGGCCTTTGACCGAGTCCGGTCGCCCAATTCTACACAGATAAATTAATAAGGCCTTTTTACTTTGAAGTAAATCTGTCTTCATTCTTTCTCCTTAATATTGTAAAGGTAGTACTTTTTATAAAATGTATCTAGAATTAGTTTAATATTATTTAGACAATTAAGACAAGCTTTTAAAAGACTTATATGAAGTCTAAAAGTGTTTTTTGTACAAAATTTCTACTATGCAAATAAAAAAAAAGACGACATGGGGAGTATGGAACGATCCTATTGGTTGAAATGGGCGGTTCCTATAGACCGAGAGAGAAAATGACGGAATAACTATCGGGTCTCCCGTGGGTTATCGTTAGTTAGTCTATAACTCACCTCCGTTCTCCATTGCAGCCACCCGCTTCCACCAACAGGATCGTCCCATTTTCCCTCTGTCTCATATATCTATAGCTTTATCTATCAATTCCAAGAATCAACCCTCTGAGAGGAGAAGAGGGGACGGGGACGCTCAGAGAAAAGGCGGAGACACGGGGTATTGGAGGAACAATTTCGAAAAAACGTATATAGACAAATTTGCTTCGGAAATTGAGTGATTCCAGGAATTGGTCTGTGTATAGTAGCACTGAGCCTGAGTTACTTTTCTCCTACTAAGCACCTTCATCTACGAAACAATGATACGACCGAACTTTCATAATCAGCATGCACAGGCAAAGTTGTGTCCGTGACTAAAATTCCGACGCGACCGCCGAACTGCCGTGCTAAGGAAGAACGCCGTATGAGCATTCGAGAGTTGCCAATTTCCTGTCAGAAAATAGTTATTTTGAAGAATGTTGTGAATATTTTTCCTTGAAATTTTCACGAACTTCCGGTGAAATTGCGAACAAAATCAGGGTGTCTACTAAAACAGGCTAGCCAAAAATCAGTACTTTTACAGTGATTTTTCTGTACATTCCAAAGAAATTCAGTACCTCCTCAACAGAATATTTCAGTACCTCCATGTACAGAAATTCGGAATATTTCAAAAATTTGAGTTTCTTGCCCAAATTGCGACAAAAATGAAAAAAATCCAGACCTTTATGGGGAATCTCCGCACTTTTTCAGTGCCTCCGGACAGCCCTTAAAAAATCAGTACTATTTACGGACTTTCCGGACTTGTAGACACCCTGAAAACGATCTGAAATATTGAAGGAAAAAAATTTACAAATTTTTCAGAAAATCCGCGATTTACCAGAGGAAATTTGGCAACGCCTGAAGGTTCATACGGCGTTCTTCCTTAGCACGGAAGCGAAGCTCTATGCGCAGCACGAGGAACCCCGCTATTCAAAACTCAAAACAATATGGCAGCCCGGCTGTCAGTGCGAGAGGCGCGCCGATGATGGAAAAAAATGATGAAGTGCTCACTTTCCTCCGGCAGTCTCTCGACTCATTTTCAGCCGGGGATTCATTTTCAAACCCGTTTTCAGTCCCTTTCCACCCCCGCCCCCACTAAGGCTGCGACCGGGTGTCCGACACAACGTCCCTCCTCTGACGTAACAACGTATCTCCGTTTCAACGTGAGCCCTGCTACTCATATAACTCCATACTTTCCGGGGCTCAAAAGGAGATTGGGATACACCCTTACGTCAGAGCGACGACGACAAGAGCACGGTCGCCAAGCCCGAGGAAATCACTACCGTCCGCTTTAATTAGACCTCTCGTTACAAACTCGCAAACTCTGACCGG